GGGCTGACATCCCTGCTGTGCCCCCCCAGCCGGGCCGGACACCGGGGGAGGACCCAGGGACGGGGTGGGTTGGGCTCCCCTGGGGGTCACTGCGCTCTGAGCAGCGGTGTCGCTGCCTTGTGGTGGCATCAGCCGCCTCACCTGGGTGTCCCTGCCCGACTCACCTCAGCTGGCAGCTGGAGCTGGGCACTGGGGCTTCTCCTGGCACAGGAAGCCCAGCAGCCGCCTTCAGGCTGGCCGTCCAGGTGATCAAACCCTCCGGGAGGAAGGTGTGAAGTTCACCCTGACTCGGCTGGGAACATGTAGTGCCTCAGCATCCCGGTCTCAGATGGGTACAGGGGTGTCTGAGGGCAACCCAGCCCCTGGGCTGGAGGGAAAGGGGTTGGATCCATGAGTGTTGTGCTGAGGAGCCTTGGAAAACAGCCTCTCCCAGAGCTGCTGGAACCTGAGACACCCCCAGGGGCTGTGCTGGGAGGGAGATCAGGAGGGCAGGGGTCTGTCCCCTCACCCCATGCTTGGGCTGTTGGCAATTGGGTCAGATGGGATCAGGTGGAGGGGCAGAGTCTTCTCAGGGGTGTCCAGGGACAGGACAAGGGACAGTGGGCACAAACTGGAGCACAGGAGGTTTAACCTGAATATAAGGAAATACTTCTTGACTCTGAGAGTGACAGAGCCCTGGGACAGGCTGCCCAGGGAGGTTGTGGAGTTTCCATCCCTAGAGACATTCCAAACTGACCTGGACATGTTCCTGTGGGATTTGCTCTAGGGGATCCTGCTCTAGCAGGGGGGTTGGACTAGAGGATCTCCAGAGGTTCCAGCCAACTCCCACCATTCTGGAATCCTGTGACAGGTCTGCAGGGGCATTGGCACATGTCCTGGGCTTCTGGGGTGGGGTCTGGGCAGGGAGAGCACGTGCCAGGAGTAAAATCTTATCTCAGCCCCAAGGAATGTCGCTGCAGGACTTTTCCCATCCCTCTGGGATCTGCAGGGAGGTGACAGCTTGCCTGTCCTCCCTCCCCAACCCCCTTTTTCCTGCTGGAAAAGATGGGATTGTTCAGCCTGGAGAAGAGAAGGCTCCAGGGAGACCTTAGAGCAGCTTCAGTGCCTGAAGGGGCTCCAGGAAAGCTGGGGAGGGACTTTGGGAGTGATGGGATGAGGGGAATAGATTGAAACTGGAAGAGGGAGATTTAGGTTGGACATGAGGAAGAAATTCTTTGCTGTGAGGGTGGTGAGAGCCTGGCCCAGGGTGCCCAGGGAAGCTGTGGCTGCCCCATCCCTGGCAGTGTTGAAGGGCAGGTTGGATGGGGCTTGGAGCGACCTGGGCTGGTGGGAGGTGTCCCTGCCCATGCAGGGGGTTAGATCTAGATGATCTTCAAGGTCACTTCCACCCAAACCATTCCATAATTCCATGATTCCTCCTGTTCTGCCTCAGGCACCCTGACAAAAACAAGGACCCAGGAGCAGAGGACAAATTCATCCAGATCAGCAAGGCCTACGAGGTAACACACTCTTCTTCCTAAATTCCTGCTTTCACTGGAAGTCAAGTGACCTTATTTTTCCAGCCTGGATGACACCAGCTTGTCCTCAGCCACAAGTATTTTGCTCTAGTTTTGCTCTTTTCACCCTAAAAAGCCTCAAAAGGAATGGGGGGGGAGGTGGGTTGCCTGAGCCCCATGCAACTGGGTGGGTGATAGAAGCAGCATTAATCACCACAGGGTGATTAGTTACTTCTAATTATTCTTTCCAGAAGTTGCTCTTTCCACATGGCTCCTCCTCTCAAAATCAGCTGCCCCAGTTTGCAGCAGCTGACCCAAAACTTCCCTAAAGGAGCTGAAATCAAGCAAATCCTCATCTCCCAGCTGGAAAAACACAGTCTCCCTGTGGGGATCTGGCTGCTGGGTAAAAAATTTGGAGCTGGGAAAACCCTGGATGCTCCAAAGCTGCTCTAGGAATTGATGTTCAGGCTGAGTAAGCTTGGAAGCAACGTGATAGTTCCCTTTCCCAGAGGATTTACCCCTCCCAACACCCTGATAGTTCCCTTTCCCAGAGGATTTATCCCTCCCAACATGCTGATAGTTCCCTTTCCCAGAGGATTTACCCCTCCCAACACCCTGATAGTTCCCTTTTCCAGAGGATTTACCCCTCCCAACACCCTGATAGTTCCCTTTTCCAGAGGATTTACCCCTCCCAACACCCTGATAGTTCCCTTTTCCAGAGGATTTACCCCTCCCAACACGCTGATAGTTCCCTTTTCCAGAGGATTTACCCCTCCCAACACGCTGATAGTTCCCTTTCCCAGAGGATTTATCCCTCCCAACATGTGTTATCCCAACTATCCCTTTGTGTTCCCCCCTATCCCATCCCTGTGCAGCTGCACTTAATTCCTCAGGGATTCTCCTCAGGGCACTTCCCCTCCACAGCTTCAGGCAGTGATTCCTCTCTCATCCCTCTCCCAGATTCTCTCCAATGAGGAAAAAAGGGCCAACTTTGACCGTTATGGAGCTGCTGGGGAAGCTCAAGGCTACTCCCAGCACCGCCAGTTCCACCACTTCCATGAAGGCTTCTACTTTGATGAGTCCTTCTTCCACTTCCCTTTCAATTCCGAGAGGCGGGACACGTCCGACGAGAAGTATTTGCTCCACTATTCCCACTACATCCAGGAAATTGTGCCAGACAGTTTCAGGAAGCCTTATCTGATTAAAATCACCTCGGACTGGTGTTTCAGCTGCATCCACATCGAGCCAGTGTGGAAGGAAGTGGCTCAGGAGTTGGAGGTGCTGGGTAAGGATGGGATCGTTCAGCCTGGAGAAGGGAAGGATCCAGGGAGACCTTAGAGCACCTTCCAGTGTCTGAAGGGGCTCCAGGAAAGCTGGGTTTGGGCAGGGAGAGCACATGCCAGAAATGTGGCTGCAGGACTTTTCCCATCCTTTTGGGATCTACAGGGAGGGTGACAGCTTGCCTGGCCCACCCCCAACACCCAACTCCTTTTTTCCTGCTGGAAAAGATGGGATTGTTCAGCCTGGAGAAGAGAAGGCTCCAGGGAGACCTTGGAGCAGCTTCCAGTGCCTGAAGGGGCTCCAGGAAAGCTGGGGAGGGACTTTGGGAGTGGTGGGATGAGGGGGAATGGATTAAAACTGGAAGAGGGAGATTTAGGTTGGACATGAGGAGGGAATTCTGTGCTGTGAGGGTGGTGAGAGCCTGGCCCAGGTTGCCCAGGGAAGCTGTGGCTGCCCCATCCCTGGCAGTGTTGAAGGGCAGGTTGGATGGGGCTTGGAGCAGCCTGGGCTGGTGGGAGGTGTCCCTGCCCATGCAGGGGGGTTGGATGATCTTTAAACTCCCTTCCAACCCAAACTATTCCATGAAGCTCAGCAAGGGAACAACTCTGCAGCCTCCAGTATTTCCCCCAAGGTGTTTTGGGGTGCTGGGGTGTCTCCCCTGAGCCCTCTCTCCTCCCTGCAGGCGTGGGGATCGGGGTGGTGCACGCAGGCTACGAGAGGCGCCTGGCCCATCACCTGGGGGCTCACAGCACCCCCTCCCTGCTGGGGCTCATCAATGGGAAAATCACCTTCTTCCACAACGCTGTCCTTCGGGAAAACCTGCGGCAGTTTGTGGAGAACCTTCTGCCAGGGAATCTCGTGGAGAAGGTAGGATCAGAGCGTCAGGTGCTGCTGCTGGTGGCCGGGCCGGGTACTGCTCCCTCCTCAGAGCTTTTGTGGCTCATCTCATTCAGCCCTTGAGCTGAGCTGATGGAGCTGATGAAACAAGGCCTTTGGAGATGTAATGACCCTGGAGTTGGGGGAAACCATCACCCAGCAGCTCCAGAATTATTCCCCTTCCACAAGGTGCCACTACACCTTGACACCAGCTCTGTGCTGGCTGCTCTCCCTGCTCTAACACCCTAGGGCTGCCAGCACTACAGGAAACCTGCCCCTGGGTTAGGAACCTGTCATCATCATGCCCTGCCTGCTGCTGGATTTCACTTCCCTTCTCCTTTCTTGAACCTTCACTTAAGAACCTTCACTTCAGGCCCACTCACTAATTTCAGTCTAAAACTCACTGACACAGAGACCCCCTGTTGTTTGTTTTCCTCCAGTTTTCATTCTGACCTTTGAAACTGGAGCTGGCAGCTTTGAGTCCTTTCAAAGTCAGAGGGAAAACCTCCTGCCAGATAAAAAAAAAAATCCTGCCTTTGGGGCCTCTCTGGGTTGTTTTGGCAGAGCCCTTGCTGGGCCACCCCTACCTGCCTGTCCTCTCCCTGGAGCCTTGCTCACCTCACCTGGTTTTCCCTTGGGGTCTTCAGTGAGGACAGAAGACCTTCTTGTTCCCTTCCAACAGCCCCTTTGACTTGCTGTCCTCCAGGTATTTGTGTTCTCACCCCAAAAGCAGGGGCTCCTGGCCCTTGCCAGGGCTCAAGCAGCCATTCTGCTTCCTGCAGGGGGTTCCTCACAGAGTTCAGTCTGTTCCCCTCCCCAGGGGCTCCTCAAGAGGCTGTCAACTCCCTTTTAGCTCCTTTAGGTCAAAGAGGTCAAAGAGATAGTGAAGCTGAGCCAGGGCAGGTGAGATGGGGCTCCCAGAAGCCTGATAAGCCCTGACTTCCACTGTAGATAAAGCAAATGGCCCCAGTGAACAGTGATGAGAAGGAAAATGACCTCAACGTTGGCTTGAAACATCTGCAGAGGGTGCAGTAACTAGAGGGGCTGGTGGGGGTTGAGCCTGATGGTTTCAGCTCATCTGCATCAGAGAAGCCCAGCTCAGGCACAGCTGTTGGAGGAGAAACCCACAGGCTGCTCTCTAATGCCCAGACAGCTTTTCCAGGCTCTGTTGTCCACTCAAGACATCTCATCCTGCAGAACAACACGTGTCTAATGGCTCTGAGGTTCAACTGCCTGTGCTGCTTCTGTTCACAGGTCACAGATAAAAACTACATCCAGTTCCTCTCCAACTGGAAGAAGGAAAACAAGCCCCACGTCCTTCTGTTTGACCACATGCCAGTTGTGCCACTGTTATACAAGGTAAGGAGATTCTATCCCTGTGTTGTTGACTGAGGAACTCAGCTGTTCCAGCTGAAAAGGTGGTATCATGGAATCATAATGGAATCATGGAATGGTTTGGGTTGGATTGACCTTAGAGATCATCTAGTTCCAACCCCCTGCATGGGCAGGGACACCTCCCACCAGCCCAGGCTGCTCCAAGCCCCATCCTGCATCTGCTGTGAAGTCCTGCATCTGGGGGGGCAACAAACCCATGGAGCAGCACAGGCTGGGGGCTGTCCTGCTGGAGAGCAGCTCTGGGGAGAAGGACCTCAGGGTCCTGGTGGACAACTGGCTGCCTACCAGCCAGCAGTGTGGCCTTGTGGCCAAGAAGGCCAATGGCCTCCAGGGCTGCATTAAGAAGAGTGTGGCTGAAGGAGGTTCTCCTGCTCCTCTACTCTGCCCTCTGGAGAACTGGGTCCAGTTCTGAGCTCCCCAGTTCGTGAGGACAAGGAACTACTGAAATGAGCCCAGCACAGGGCACTGAGATGCTGAGGGGCTGGAGCATCTGCCTGTGAGGAAAGGCTGGGAGAGCTGGGGCTGCTCAGCTGGGGAGGAGGAGCCTGAGGGGGGATCTGATCAGTGCGGGTCGATATCTACAGGGGGTGGCAGGAAGATGGGGCCAGGCACTTCTCAGGGGTGCCCAGTGACAGGAGAAGGGGCACTGGGGAGAGAACATGTTTGCTGCCTCCTGTCAGCCCACACTGGTGCTCC